AGGGATACAATTTTCCACCTGAACTTCATTTCTGTTAACCATATTGATTCTCATAAAATTAATTAAAATAATCATTGCCGCTTTCTTCTCAGTAAAAATTCCATTTCCATGTATCATGTCTAGCCTCTTTTCTTCAACATATAAGCACAAGTCCGTAACAGTCTCCAAGGGCAAAAGGCACGATGAGATCTGTAATGTGAATTAAGGAGTGAATCTATCCCTCTGAGACTGGTTTAGTGGCCAACTGAAATCTCTAACAGAAATCTCATGAGTTTTGAGCACATGGAAGCCTCATATGGGTTTATTTTTCCAAAAGTAACACAGTACTTCTTTGGTATTTTACCAAATGTGGCTTTTCATCCTGAGTGTAAGCAGACAGTTAGTGCCCTACGGAACCATTCTGGAAACACTATGTTGGAAAAATACCAACATCCAGTGAAAGTCACAGTGGAAAAGCCTGTTCTCTTCTAGGGGAACTTCAAAGAAGCCAGGGCCTGCTAGTATCATGTCTCTTCTTTAAATTAGGGGCTCAATTAAACTGGGGAAGTTTCAGTTTCTAACTTGCATTAAGACGCAGATATTTCTGGTTGCCATTGAGGTTGTTCATAAAAGGCAAGGAGTATACCAACAAGAATTTTCCCACCTTTACCTAGTATTTTGCTGTCAAAAATTTAATTTTTTGTGTCTTCAGTTAGGCAACAGTTGAGGTTCCATTAATTGTAATTATCATCAAACAGCAAATATTTGCTTGGCTTCTTCTGTAGACACAATTCCAAGTACAGAATATGCATAGGTATTTCCATGATCTTTAAGCATTCCAAATTGGCATGGAACATCGACTATATAAGTGAAAAAAATGCACAAATGCGAGGGGCAAGTTGTTAATTGTCTAGAACACAATTGCTGAAATACTTCAGAGATATAATAACCATCAACAATTGGCATAGATAAGGGAAACATGCCAGAATCAAGGCTCAAGCTGTATGAGTGTGTAAAAATATGCTTTAATTTGGGTAGCAGGACACAGATAAGTGATAGCATTGATGTATGTGAATTTGGTTTTGACTGTGTGTGTAGCTGTGCATATATGTGTGTGAATGTACAAGCACACCTTATACATGGGACTGGACCTGGTAAGGTACATGACATATTCAGAGACATGTAGGAATACTTGTGGGTAAACTATAAACCTTTGATGGCTAGAAGCCAATAAATTTCTAAGACTATATGCTGGAGAAAACACTACCGAAAAAAGAAACTAAGATAAGAATAACTTCTCTCATGAAAGTACATTAGGAAAGTAAGCAAACTAAATCCACATTTCAATATACAAAGGAAAGATAAGTATTTCAGTTTTTTTAAAAATTCTAATAATTAAGAAAAGACTTTCTGGGGCTGGAGAGATGGTACAGTGGTAAAATGATGATTTTGCACATGATCAATCTGGGTTCAATCCCTGGCTCACCATATAGTCCCTGAGCCATGGCAAGAGTGATCAATTAACACAGAGCTAGAAGTAAGCCATTGATAGTAGAAATTGTTGCCCACAAGCATCAAAAAAATAAGTAAATAAGTAAAAGAATGTAAAAAAGAAAAAAAATACTTTTCCTTCACAAATTAAGAAAGTCTGGTTTAGGAACTTTAGGGAGATATGTACAGTGCCTATTGTTCAGTCCAGAAAGAATGAAAAAAAAAGTGAATGTCAACCTGTAATTGAAGACTTCCTGCAGAGGTGACACAAGAATCAGCAAATGGTATTTTAGAAAAAAGTAAAATTTTAAAATATGGAAACTATGTCTGTCCTCCCGTTGTTCATCGATTTGCTCCAGCGGGCCCAGTAATGTCTCCATTTTGAGACTTGTTGTTACTCTGTTTGGCATACCAAACACATCATGGGTAGCTTGCCAGGCTTTGCCCTGTGGGCAAGATACTCTCGGTAGCTTGCAGGGCTCTCCGAGAGGGGCGGAGGAATCGAACCCGGCTCTGCCGGGCCAGCTGTGCGCAAGGCAAACGTCCTACCACTTTGCTATTGCTCCATCCCTTCTGAAAAAACAAGTATGATTTACAAAATTAATAAGAACCTGAGAGATAGTTTAAAGGGTTAAGGTGCATACAGCACATACTTTTCAAGACTGAGAACTGATTTGATCCCTGGAACTACATACGGTGTCAATCCTATAGTGCTACCAGAAGTGACACCACTTCCACCCCAGAGTAAGAAGCCAGGGACAGCCCACAAATTGTGACTTCAAAACAAACAAACGAACAAAAGGTATCAGGAACTTTGTTTTTATTTTTTTCTTTTGAGTTGTAGTCCATATTTTTTTTAAAAAAATATTATTTAATATATGAACTGAAAGGATAAATGTAATTATCTGAATAATAGAGGAGGATGAACAAGTTACTGATACTAGTAGGAAAACTCTACAATATATGAAACCTGAAAGAGAATCAAGTAATGGTCCAAAAACAAAAGAGAATTGGAACAATCTAATAGTTACTAGAACAGAATCTCAGAGAGATAAAAGTTCTTAATAAGTTTTTAAGCCCTGTTGGAACATTGTCGCACCTGGCTTTGTCTATCAGACTCACTTTTAAATTTACTCAAATAATTAGAAGGAAAAAGATACAAACTATGCATTCAGAACTGCATTGTTTGACATGGTTACAGTGAAAATTGACAAAGCTTGCTTGGTGGCAGTTTTTGGCATATCTCTAAAATGGGAACCTATCATGTTAATATTCTTCAATACTTCTCTTTCATGTGGGTAATAGCCTGTTTTGATCACACTGATCTCGCTAAAGAGAAATCCATGTCCTTCAGGGATTGAAAGAATCATGAACAACTTTAGGTTTGATTTAGCTCTTACTAATCCCTCTTGAGTCTCTAATACATGTTTTCCTCAATGTATTCCTTAACTTTTTTGTTTGTTCCTGTTGCCACTCCTTCTTTAGAGTATCATGCTAAATTCACCTTCTGAAAGTCTTTGCACTTTATGATAAAAGGCAGCATAGGTATCAACAATCTGCTAAGGTAAATAAACAGAGAAAATAATATGTAGCTTCAAATAGCATAAATCTTGCTAATTTTCTGTTATTGATGTTGCTATTGTCAAGGTAAATTAACACTCTCAGGAGAGCATATTCTCAAAATAAGAACCAATTCTGCAATGGGGCTGGGGCGATGGCACAGCGGTTAGGACGTTTGCCTTGCACACGGCCCACCCAGTCAACCAGAGTTCGATTCCTCGCCATTCTCAGAGAGCCCAGCAAGCTACCAGGAGTATCTCACCCGCATGGCAAAGCCTGGTAAGCTACCCGTAACATATTCGATATGCCAAACACAGTAACAAGTCTCACAATGTTACTGGGCCCTCTTGAGCAAATCAATGAACAATGAGAGAACAGTGACAGTGACAGAGTTGACTCCATACAAGATAAAAAGAAGAGATGGACTCTTGATCAGGGAAATTTAATGATTCCCTGAAGCAGATACTCGAGGTTTCTGGCTAGGCATCAGTGAGGCTTCAAAACTGGGCATGTGGGAAGAATTATGGATATGGTCTGATTTAGTTCCCTCTAGCTCAGTTTCCATTGTGATTCTACAAAGACCAACTAGAGTAGAATATGGAAAGGAAAAAGAATGATGTATGGACTAAATGCTTCCTCACCAAAAAAGCTTAGGTATATACTTTACATTTTATATTTAGCAAAACCCTTTAAAATAAATACCAGAATTGAGGCCATGGGTATAGCTAACTAAGAAAGTGTGCATGTGTCACATTTGTGAGTCTTTGGATTTGATCTAGTGACAGGTAGGAGGTAGAGAAGGAAGAGGAGGAGGAAGAAGAGCAGGAGGAGGAGGAGGAATAAGAGGAGAAGGAAGAGAAAGCAGAGAAGGGGGAGGAGGAGGTGGAGGAGGAATAAGAGGAGAAGGAGGAGAAAGAAGAGAAGGGGAGGAGGAGGAGGAGGAGGAGGAGGAGAAGGAAAAGAAGAAGAAGAAAGAAGAAGAAGAAGAAGAAGAAGAAGAAGAAGAAGAAGAAGAAGAAGAAGAAGAAGAAGAAGAAGGCAAAACAATGACAACACTGAAATGTATAAATGCAACTGTATTCTTATAGTTTAAAATTTTAGAAAAACAGGTGATACTGTTTGATTCTTTTATGTGGTGACTATTTAATTTATAGACACAAGAAAATATCTGACATTATTCTATTCATCTCACCCCTAAAACTAACTATTCAGATTTATTATACCTATATTTTTCCAGTTAGAAGTTGCCAGATGAGAGGTACAAGCTCAGAAAGACCTGATTAGAAGACCTGATAATAACGAACTTCAATTTAGCTTAAATTTTAAGACAAATTTATTACTGACCTGAAGGTAGAAAAACATAAGGAAATGTCCTTGTTGGTGAAGGAATATTAGAAAGCTTTAGGCTACTGAAAACAAAGGATTATAAAACATTTTCTTCCATGTAAATATAAAACTGTCACAATCTACCAATATAAGAAAAATTGCAACTTCCTTAAAAATAATTTTATTAAGCAATTTCCTAGAATTTTAAATTTAAATATATATGTATACATACATATACATTTACATTTACATTTCAATTTTTGTTACTTTGTAATTTGCCACAGAATGATAATGCTAAGCTTATGTGAATTAGAGTTCATGTTAGAGGAAAGTCTAACTAAATTAAACAAAACACTCTTATAAGTCAAGTTCTAACAGAAAAAAAGTTTGTTCTTTCAGGTCGTAATGTGTCAAATGGCATCCAAAACAAGGCAATCTCAGCAGCTATGGGGTATTGCCTCAAAACAAAATAAGCAAACAAAAAAAGAATATTCAAAAAGCCTCTTGAGATTAATGGGGACATAGCCTAGAGTTTGAGTCTCTAATATACTGACAAATAGATCCATCAGAAAAACCCTTGTTTTCTGATTAGCTTCACGTATAAAAAAATAAATATAAATATTACTAAGAGTTAGGTTACTTACCATAAATTCCTGTTGAGATGCAGGGGAAAGCCTGAGAATAAAACAAAACAAAATGTCATAATAAAATTTAAGAAAACGACTTCAGTCCTCTTATCATCTATTCAAACATCCATTTTACTCAACATACTTGGAATAAGAGACCCCATAAGAAATCACCACATTTGATGAAAAGAAAATGTTTTCTTATCAACAATCTTACCAGCTCATAAGAGTCAAAGTTTTAACTTTTCAGAAATCTTGTGAACAAATTTTGAGAGTAGTATTCTGTATGACATAACTGGCTCAATAGAATTTGTATATAGAATTAATTAAAATTTATCATAATTGAACAGAACTGTATTGCAATAATTCACTAGAGACATGTAAAAATATTGTGCATTTTATTCTTGTAGCTATTGGCACTTTTTATATTAGAAAACTTTAAATATATATTCTTTGATTTTTTGAGAGTTAGATTTGAAACAGTTATCAGAACACTACTCTCATGCCAAATGGTATGGGATAAATGTTTCAGGTTCATACATTGAAGGCTGAAAGTATTGGAGGTGGGCTTTTTGAAAGTTAATTGAGTGCAGAGTCCTCAAGATGGGAGTGGTGTTCTGATACCTGAAGAAGAGAACTAGCACTCTCCCAGTGCCCTGAACAATGTGAAAGCAGTGTGGATTGTTCTCTATAAAGAGCAAATAATCATGTATTTGCATATCAAGAAGTAGTTTGACACTGATACCAGATTTCTTGGACAATGTTTTTGGCCTTTCCATCCTATGGACCTACAAGGTGTGCTTGTTGTTTAAGCCATTGAGATGCTCGCAATCTTATAGCAGCTCTAACTGACAGGCATCATATTTTATTTAGTAATATTTAAGGGATCTGAAAGCATGTAGAAGGAAATATAAATATACCGTAGACTTGAAATTGGACTCTCTGACAATAGAAAATGATCTGTGCAAGGCAATGGCCTCTGCCAATGTACTTTTTGTGTCAATTTAATCAGGTTGTTTTCATCCTTCTGAGCATGGTATATCAATGGGAAATGTAGATGTAAGGGGCTGGAGAGAGAACACAAGGGGTAAGGCAAAAGCCTTCCATTTTTCTGACTGCAGTTCAATTCCCAGCACCACATAGGGATCTGACTGCTAGGAGGGAGCATGGGGCACCATCAAAAAACAAAAAAAGAAAGAAAGATGCAAGTTCTGCTGCACAGAAATGTACTGTGAGGATTAATGACTCTTTTTAAAGGAAATTGTAATCTATAATGGATAAGAAAATATAAAGATTTTAACTGCTGTTGAATGACACATTTAATGTGGTGAACAGCTAATATTAATGTTGAGCTAATATTAATAACAGCATATCTAAGACTTTTTTTCTTTTGTCTTTGATTTAAATGTATTACATTTTACTTCTTTACAATTCTATACACTGATTTCCTTTACCAGGACATCATATTTTAAGCATCATGACTTGCGGTCAGTACTTTATTCGTTAAATTTTAAAACCATTCCTTTGCTTAAGTACGGGTATTTAAATACTGTTAATAATGTTTTTAATTCACACATCATTCTAACACCACATGCATCACCAGAGTATAGTTCACTCCACCAGTGACCCAGGGATCCTCTTCCCCAATGTAATCTCAGTTCTAAAGACAAACTCTTCAGTTCTAATAAATTTGAGCATTTTTTAATCCTATACTATGCTTCTTTTTTATCTCATATTTCATCTCACATTTCTCTTTCCCTCCCCCTGTTCCCCTCTCTTTTACTATTTCTCTCTCATCTATGCACAGCAAAATGGAGCTGACCTCCTGAAATTCCACAAAATTGTAGGATTTATCTAATCTTTGTAAGCCTTAATTGTATTAGCACAGAATAATTCATAATATTAATATTTTCATTTATATTCCTGTATAAAGTAAAGTAAAGGCCCTCCCGTTGATCATCGATTTGCTCGAGCGCGCCCAGTAACGTCTCCATTGGAGACTTTGTTGTTACTGTGTCTGGCATATTGAATACATCACGGGGAGCTTGCCAGGAAGGTTTTGAAAACTATTTTTACTTTATCAAATTTATCATTGATTTACAGTCCACAGAATTCCTTTTTAAAAAAAGAAATAATTTATTGTTAGTTTCACCTAAATGTCTGCAAAATAATTAATTTTTCAACTCATTTACTAATAAATAGTATTATTTGTAACAAGAAAATATGATGGTTCCAAAATCAGAAAATCAACCAATATTTTAGCTAAATTAATAAGCACTGTAGCACTGTTCTCCAGTAGTTCATTGATTTGCTCCAGCGGGCCTAGTAACGTCTCCATTGTGAGACTCATTGTTATTGTGTTTGGCATATTGAATACGTCACAGGTAGCTTGCCAGGCTTTGCCATGTGGGCAAGATACTCTGGTAGCTTGCTGGGATCTTCAAGAGGGGCAGAGGAATTGAACCCAGCTGGAGCAATAGAGCATTTGACTTGCAAGCGATATATTAAGTACCTACTGTAAACTAATTGTAGTTGGAGATGGATAAACACTGGTGAACAGGACAGCTCCTATTCATTGTAAGTCTGCAGATAACAAGTGGTTAGATGAATAGTTAGCTACGTAATATAATAATACAATTAAGATGAATCATACAAATAAAGTCATATTGTTCCCATCCCTCAAAATCTCAACTATGGCGTCAGGGAGATGGTTCAAACCACTGGAGCACATGCTTTAAAGCAGGAGCCCCAGGTCCCCAAGGTGCCCCATTGGAAGTAATCCCAATTACAGAGCTGGATATAGCTCCCCCCTCCCCAGCACTACCAGCTATGGGCCAAAACCCAAAACCAAAAATCTCAATTCCAATCAAAAGTGTTTTTAAATATGAGTCTTATTTTAGGACCCATCTTTTATATTCACTTTTCTTTTTACTTTAAAGAGATCTACAGAGAAAATAAAACTTTTTTATATATATAATTTTCAAAGCAAAATATATAGGTGTGAGACTGGCACTGGCAATCTTCAATTTTGGAGAAAAAAGCTCAAACTAGTGAGGAGGGGCAGGAAAGATTCTGGATTCTAGGGCAATAGCAATAGCAGGCTGCATCTTCTGTCTGCCCCTTTCATTTCTTTCACAACTTTCATGTGATTCAATTTTGTCCTATCTCTCTATAGGCTTTTATCTTTAAATACATTGTTTTGAGGACTGACTCTATCACCATAGTGCTCAGGGGGTATAGTCCATGCCTTTACTCTGGTGTTCTATTCAGCATCTAATGTTCAGTGTTTCACATTATTTGTGGTTCATTTGATAAATGTGACCCAAAATTAACCAGCTCATGGTTCAAGACTAGAGTAGGGGAAAAAAGAATTTAAATTCCAGTGAGTCAATTTTGACTAACATAGAGAATTACTCAACTTAAGAAAAAATATAATCAAAGTACCCACACAAAAGACTAAGATTAATATAATAGAATTAATAAGCAAATTCTTTTATTTGTTCGGTTCTAGACATGTCAGTAGGATCTGATGAAAACTTTTAATGAGTCAATATATACTTAATAACACAGAATCACAAAAGCCAGTGGAGAACCAAGTCTTCTAAAAATATTTCATTATGTTTAGAATCACCAAGTCTATCAATAAGGGTTATTCTCAGTGTTAAAGTCAAACGCAAATTGGGGCTGGAGAGATAATATAGCAGGTAAAATGTTTGCTTTATCCATGTTCGATCTCTGACACTCCATAGGGTCCCTTGAGCCTATCAGGAATGGTCCCTGAGTCCACCAAGAGTGATTCCTTAGCACAGAACCAGGAGTAAGCCCTGAGTACAACTAGATGTGTCCCCAAAACATAACAATACAAAAAAATCAACTGCAAGCTTATAAGGAACTTGTTAATAGTATAAAGGCTCAGAGTACAGGAACTGTTATAAAATTATAAGTATTTGGGGTCAAGCTTATAATTTGTGTCAAGCTAACTCATGTTATAATGAGCCTTTGCAAAAGTGGTACAGAGAGGTAAATTTACAGTTTGTAGCTCAAGAAGTCGATGGAAGTAAACTGCTTTAACAAATGTCATCTATATTTAGGTTGTTGAGAAAAAGATAATTTTGAGGACTGCTAAAGAGAACCATCAAACAAAACCCAGAAAATATCAAAATGTCTTAACAAGAAAGACCACATTAAATGGGTATCATTTTAGCTCATGCTGTAGGACAGTTTACATGACTGTTTCAAGAATAATTTTTCCCATTAGTAAAAAAGAAACTATCAGACTTGTCCTAAAAGGGTGGAGGACTATGAGGAACAAAGTTTTGTATCTGATGAATAGCAGTGAGTTCATGAATGCTGACTCGTGATAAATGTCCTGAGGCCCACTCAATTCTACTTCAGAAAGGGCTTGTTGGCCCAGAGCAGAAATTTCCAACTGCAGCACTGCTGATATCAGAGACCAGATCATTATTTGTTGTTGTGGGATGTCTTGTGCATAAAGAAATGTTTAGCAGCATAACTGGTAAAAGCACCCTTTGGTGACAGGTGACAGTAGTATACTCTCAGTGGTAACAATCAAAAATATTAATATGTGGTTTAGTTAGCAGTGTATGTGTTTTGCATGTATAAGGTCCTGGAATAATCGATTCTCTCTCTCTTTCTCTCTCTCTCCCTCTCTCTCTCTCTCTCTCTCTCTCTTGCTCTCACTCTCACTCTCACTCTTGCTCTCTCTCATCCTGAGATTGTCAAATGTGCCCTAGGAGGCAAAATCACAATCACCCCTAGTTGAGAACCACTGCACTACAGTATAGAGATTAACCCCCAGCAGTGTTGCCAGCAGGCAACCTTCAACTATTCATATTTTCAGGAATTATCTCAGAGGAAAAGAGCCAACTCACTCAGAGACGGGACAAATTCCTCCCCAGGATGGTTAGCATACAATAATTAATAATGCAACACTGATTTTTTTCCAGAACTATCCATTGGTCAACAAAGCCATCACCAGGCCTGGGTTCCACCTCATCATCATTCCCTCCCCACCCGGCCCCTTTCTTT